CTATTTTATCCATTAAAAAAATTAGATTGTTGAATTTATAGATACATTTATATAATTTCACATGTTTATTCATCATTATTACGAAATTTACATCTAAATTATATAATTAACATTTATTTAAACGAAAATATGTTATTAACGGTGTTTAACACATTTAAATCCTATTAAAATACATCAATTGAGAGAGATGAAAATTGATTTGGTAAGAATCGGTTAAGATTAATTGATAGAGAAACATCGTTGTTGAGAGTTTGAAGAACAATAAGAGACAAATAAAATGTTGGTTTACCTCATACTAATTACCAGATAAGAGAAAAACAAGACATAAATGCATCTGAAAATTTGAAAAAAAACAAACAGTGAATGATCCTACCTTTCAATGAATTAGACATAAGAGGTTGATAAGAGTTTTTTATAAAAAAAGAAGCAAACAAGGACTAACAAACTATATCGACAAAAAAAATAAAAAAAAAAGATATGCATGTAAATGCTTGATACAGTTAAAAAAATATTGTACGATCCCATATCGATTGAGGAGGGGAAGGTAGGATATCTTATAAGACACTAGATATAATATTTACCATACGCGATTTAAAACCGTAAGTCTAGATATAGACAAAACGAACAATATTTACTAATAGTATCAGAGCTAAGAACCGGATTGATATGACAACGATGACTTACAAGGGACTAAATTTTTCTTCTACTAGACACATTTTAAAACCGTGAACCTATATACAGATAAAACGGATAATTTCTGATACAATTAACCTGAGAGACATATTACAAATAATAATTTACTTATTAAAGTTGATAATATATGGTATTAGGGGTGTTTGGGATTGCTTATTTGAAACAACTTATATTTTTCTACAAAAATCCTTATTAACTTATTATAAGTTATAATGGTTTAACTTCTTCAGAAAACTTTAGAAATTTTCATTCTTCTTTGACGACAAGGAAGGCTTCCCCAGGATAAAAGTAAAAACTTCTTATTACCGGTTTGGCACCGATATAAGTTTTTTTTTAATCCAAACACTTAAAAGTGTTTATTATCGGTGTCACACCGGAATAAGTAAATAAGTTGTTTTTATAAGCAATCACAAACACCCCTAAATAGTAATATGTTTAATTTGCGATCATTTATCTAATATTGAGATAAGTAAGATGACATATGTTAGATACACGTTAATTGCAAGAGTATCTAAATTAAACTGTAACTTGTGTTTGCATTTATTTAAATTTGAATTAAAAAGAAAATCTAGATCCGGATCTTGTAATTGACATAAAATGGTCGGTTTGTGACCAACTTACACATTAAATGGAAATCCAATGGGTCTACCATTAGTTTTGCCAGAAAGCTTTTGTACAATATCATTGTAATTATGTCCACTTGACAGATATCTGTCCGACAACGTTAAAATGACGGATATCCCTCTTCCAGTCCGGATCCAACCAAGTTCTGGCTGTGTGGTGCAGGATCGGCACCTCGGGATGCAAGTTGAGACCGGTTGTACCACTCAGGGTCTAGAACCATTGTCGTATGGTGAAAGCGCAATGCATTCGAAGCCGGTAAGCAGTCCAGAATCATTGGTGAAAAATACAAGAGATTTGGACTTTCGATCATTTTTTATCTTAAACCAACTCATTAATTGTACTGTAAAAGAAAATTGATCTGTTGTTTTTCATTTGTGTTGATCTAGTTAAACTTTTCAATTTAATTGATCAAATGTTGGAGATCTCTTATTACCGAAATCCAACCCAGTTTAACATTAGACATACGTTATATATATATATATATATATATATATATATATATATATATATACACACACGTTATATACATTCAAAGTCTTGATTATATATAATTACAATAAGAATTATTGATCCAATATTCGAAAATATAAACGTGATAAGATATCCAAAAACAGGATTTCACAAATACCACGTAATCATGTCGATAAGAGTATCTTCAACAAAATGTCTATAACATCTCGTAAATAGAGAACTAAAAGAAGTCTAAATATTGAGTGTTTTTTGTTATATTTATTTTAGAGAACAATATAAATAAATTGATAAGAGTAAAATAAATAAAAACACCATCTCCATCTTCCGTATTATAAAAAAAAACTCACTACTTGTCGTGTATACAATTTGAATTTGAATAGAAATCAACAACTCACCTTATTTCTGATTTCACACTGGAACAAATTTTGGGTTTATACGACGCCTAAAATGTTTAAGAGTTATAATAGAATATTTTATAGACTTGTATTTATATAATCAAACTATAAAAAGTCATAACTAAAAACGTTACAGTAGATTTATATGATTTTGGGTGTTTTAACCAAAAAATTAGGATGCTTTAAAATACAATGTTCTATTAGCTCGTTTATAGGATATTTTTTAGATGTATTTTATAAACCAATCTTTTTATAAAACACTTGTATTAGTATGACCCCTTTTTAATGTGGTGTCGAATAAAGTAGTTAGTACGATATTTTATTTTAAAAACGTACTAAAAACTTGTTAAAACCGTTATATAAATCTATTGTAACACTATTTGGTTTGGTCTTATAAGCTGAAGTTTTTTGTAAATTATTTATTAGAACGTTAAGATACTCTATACGTCCTATAAAATCAGTTTTATTGTAGTGTGACCACCTCTTTTTTTTACTGAAGAAGACCAAGACTGTAACATCCTAGCTAACTGTACCAAATATTGAAGGGACGAATCCATAAATTTTTTCAAACGGTACCACCGTTTGATATAAGAAACAAATATCATGACATTTTTCACAACATCATAATTGATCTGTTAGTTATTTCATTACTTTTTATATGTGAGGTCTTGTTTGTGTTCAAAATATTTATTGCAAATTTTTTCCAGATATATTAAAACTAAGAAGGTGATGCTACGAGATTGAAACTCGGTCTCTAACAGTTTGTGATCTATTCATGAGGTTAAAAAGTGGACTTGATCGTATAAAAAAATATGTCTGTTTTACGGCACTGTATTTTTTAGGTATTAGTTTTGATTAGTTTAAGAGACATTAAAGTTCTCAGTTGATTATTAACCTAATGCAGTATTTTATCATATTAGCAATGACTCTTTACTAAGTACCTACTTTGGTAAATACTTACCAGTTCAAATATCTTATAGACTGAACATAACAAAGGCCTAGCTATAATCTTACCTGGTATGAAGGAAGACAATGATCAAGAGTTTTATCCCGGTAAGTAAAAGTGATGACTCTTGCGCAACAAGCGTTCACCGAGTTATAAACGCTTATCATCAATCTAATTTGATGGTCGAGAATATTACCATAAGGTAAATGATAATAGGGATACTTGTCGATAAACGCTTATCTGATAAGCCTCTCATAAGTGTTCAATACTTATGTAGTTCTCATAAAAACCCTTTTGTGTGTTTTATTTATTTTTTAATGTCAACAATAATATAAAAACACTATTAAAATGTCAAAAAAATATTTATATAAAAAACTTTTAAAATATCAAAAAAAATATTTATATAAAAAACTTTTAAAATATCATTTTACACAAAGTCGAATATTTTCTTGACCGTTCTCCAGACCCCTAAAATTAGTCGAGATGCGTACAACCTGATGCGAAAACCTACAGTTAACAAAAAAAAAAAGAACTCTCTCCAATGGTTGTTTTTATAGGAACCTCTTACTTGAGATGCTATTATCCTACCATTTTAATATGGTGTTCTTATATCTAATTTTTACTAATGTGAAGATCAAATCAATTCATTCATTGATATATAAAAATTATACGTCTAAGATAAAAAAAAAGCCCAAAATCTGATGGTAATGAACAAGGTTGTCACAATCTTTTTGGTGACTATGCTACATTTTTATAACCATACTAATCTATGAGATCGTTTGATTCAAGTAAATAGACAACAAAAATATTTAAAATGACAAGATGAGAATAATATCGAGTGGTGGTTTTTGTTTTTGATTAATAAATATTGAAATTAAATAGTTGCTTTTGATTTTAAAATAAATTAAATAGGTCATGTCTATATAAGACAAGTGAAATCAGGCCTTATGAAACATTTAAAACAACTTAAAAACTCATATTTAACATGCTAATAGATATATTTTATAATAATAAAAGGGTATTCGTGTAATACATCGAGATACATCTCAATGTTAATATTTTATTTTATTATGTCTCCGTTGATGTTATAATACGATTTTATGTGGTACTGAAAAAACGATAATCTTTTTATTTTTTCGAATAAAATATAAATTTGAAGGTATTATAAAATTTTGAAAGAAATGTATCGATTTTAGTGTCAAATTATATATTTAAAAATTCTTGTTTTTTGTGTAACTTCTTTAATTCTAATTTTTATTATAACTTAATTTAGATTTAATAACGAAGCCATTTACTTTTGGTTTAATAATATAATTTTTCTATAAAGATAATATTTATTATTTTGTTAGAATTCAATGATTATCTTAAGTATATTTTAGATTTTTTATATTTAAAATGAAATATCTATCTAATATTTGATTATGTTTATCTGCAGTTAGCTACACAAATTCAAACATGGAGCTTTAATAAGTTGAACATATGAAAAATTTACTTGTATGCAGTTAACTACATGAATTCAAACATAGAGTTTTGAATAGTTGTATATATGAAAAATTTATTTGTAATCTTGAATTTTAAATAATATGTATTAATAGACAGTATTTAATGCATAAAAAATTAATTTTTAAAGGTTTTTGTTAAGTAGATGTATGGATATATAAAAGAGAAAAGAGAAAAGAGAAAAGAGAAAAAGAAAAGACAAAGGAAGAGTTGATGAAATAGTAAAAGTGTAAAACTTGAAAATTAGAGATGGGAAGCGGACCCATCTCACATGGTCACACCGCGAAAAAGCTCCCACACTTCTGGTTTATTTTCACATTTTCTGTTGAAACAACGAGGCGTATTTAAGCAGCACACGCCCCTCCCCTTCCCCTCTCCATCATTCCTTCCTCCCCAATTTCGATTTCAATTCCATTCATGGGTTTACAGAATCAGCTCACCGATGTTTCATCGGATTCTATACCGGTTTTCGTATTGGCCATCATCGCCAACGGCGTTTGTTATCTACGCTCACTCGTTTTTACCTTCCTTCACTCTCTAGGAATCTCTCGTTACCGATCCGATGATGTTGATGACGCCATGCTCTTTGACGCCGTTGGTTCTGGTTTAGCCGGACTCATCCTCCTCGCTGACCAGCTCAATCTCAACCGTATCTTCTCCTACAATTACAGTCTCCGTGCAGAAGGTCCGGATCCGGCCGCTTCCGAATGTGTCGTCTGCCTGAACCGCCTCACCGACGGTGAACAGGTCCGCAAATTGGCGTGCCAACACGTTTTCCACAAGGAGTGCTTTGACGGATGGCTTGATCATCTCAACTTCAACTGTCCGCTTTGCAGGTCGCCTTTGGTCTCCGACGAGCGCGTGGCCATGACACGCCGCCGTATGACGGATGACGTGATGGATTGGTTCTCCTTGAGATGATGAAATTACAGAGACGTATATATATATTATTAAATATATACATATATATATTTTAAGTATGTGATGATGATGATAAGGTACTCAACGCGGCTATGTTTGGTAAAATCTTATTCCAGAACAGAAATTGTCAGTTCCAGAGAAGCAATGCTATGGTAACGTGTACCTGATAGCATCAAACGTCGTCTGTTACTTTGGATTTGAAGATTTCTGCTCTGGACAAAAGATTCGCCATGTTTTCGGTATTGTTTTTTACCTGTTCCAGGGTTTTTCACCTTCCTGTAGGGTTTTTACTTGGAAAGCGGTTGATGACAATTTTGACGTTTGACAAATTTTTAGGGGTTCTTAATTCTTAATTTTAACTTTCTGGTTTATTGCTTCTCAGTTCTCAATGTTTCGTATGCTACACAAATGTATTCTCAATAAATGAAGTTCTTCTATCCATTTCTGGTTTTGCTTGGTTTGTTCAGGTAAAACTGAGCATTCATTGATGAGTTGAGAGATTGGGTGGTACCGAATTGGATTCAAAATCTGTAAGTGATTGAGAATCCTTCCTTTCATTTGCGTCGAGTGGTGTGTTGATGGTTCTGCATCAAAAGCTTATTTCCCTCGCCATGTAAATGGCTTCTAGATCTTACAAAAACAAATCAATTTTAACCATGGGAAGGTCACCTTCTACCGCCATGGAAAATCCACTCCAAAGGAGGTTCTTACAGACGCTCTAACGAATCGGTTAAAATGATAGTTATGGTGTATTATTTTTTCAAACATCAATAATTATTATTAAATCAATAAAATATTATTAAAAAAATTAAGAAATTGTGACTTTATATAAACTTTACATAAGAACCACGAATTTTTACAAAAATTTAGAGAGAGAGAGAAGGGTTCTTATATAAACTCTCTATAACTTTAGTTTCTAGAAACCACTACGGTGGTGTTTGAGATTGTTTATAAAAACAAATTATTGACTTATTGTAGTGTGACATCGGTAATAAGCATTTTTGAGTGTTTGGTTAAAAAAATTATATCGGTGCCAAATCGGTAATAAAAAGTTTTTGAATAATTTCAACTTTTCTGACTTATAATAAGTTGATAAGTGTTTTTATAAAAAAAATAAGTTGTTTCAAATAAGCAATCCCAAACACCTCATATCATTTTTTGTTTATAAGAACCTTGCATTAGAAATAATTTAATAAGAACCCATTTTTTTTTTACATTTTTGCTTGTTACGTCATTTTTACCTCGTCAAATTAAAAACCTATAAAACTTTGCAATGATAGTTTTTATAATCCATTTTGTGGGTTTGATGTATTTTTTAACATCAGTAATAATATATAAAATATATTAAAAAAAACTAATAGAAAGTTACTTCATACCAAGTTTGATGTAAGAACCGAAGTTTTTTTTATAAGAATTCGAAGGATGTGAGGTTCTTATAAAAATTGTATTTATTACTCACACTTTTACTTATAAAAACTTTGCATTAGAGATGCTCATGTTTACAAGACTTTAACCAGATCCCCGAAGGCTTATGTCTCATTACTGAATGTTTATTATCGTTTGAGCTAACCTAAATTTTGTTTCTGGTTATATCGTCAACAATTTTCTATTTTTTGTTAATTGAAGGAAATTTTAATTTGATTTTATTTTGTTTTGATAAATAAAAGTTTTAAAATATATTTCTATATAAAATTAAAATCAAACTATAATACTTTTCATTTTCAGAGAAATCTATATCCTTAATAACATGAATTTTCATGTGGTACTTTAATTTCATATATTTCTAAATGACAATTTAATATACAAAATAAAATAAAATAAAATAAAATAAAAAATAAAAAAGCTAAAAAGTTGTAGTTAAAAAATGAAAAAGTATTTAATCAACTAATAAAATACTTGAAAAAGTGTAACTATTTATTAAATGTGTTAATTATTGGTGCAGATTTATTGCATTCTTCATAAAATAAAATGAGGATTAAATTATTTTTTTTCATAAATGTTTTGTTTTATTATAATTGTTTTACTTGTATGATTTGATCTTGAACTATTACAAAATAACAAAAATAATATCTATAAATAACCGTTTTTTTACTCTAAGGGGCCGTTTACCAAACACTTACCCAGTAAGCGTTTATCAGTAAAATTTAACACTACCACTTACTTATCGGGTAAGACTTTTGTCCACCAAAACGACATTATATGCAACAATTTACCCAGTAAGCGCTTACCATGGTAAGAGTCGTCGCCTTCACTTACCGGGTAAGACTCTCGGTTCTTGTCTCCCGCTTACCGGGTAAGATTCTTGCTTCTTACCATATTTATCCGGTAAGGTAATGCGACTTGGTAAACGCTTACCTGGGTAAGCGTTGGGTAAACGACCCCTTAATTTTTAGTTGCAAATTTAGCATTTTTCATTTAAGTCTTACATAAATAGTTGAGATGTCAGTATGCTAAGTAAAAGTTAGGTACCCTAACTATTAGGGTCTGTTTATTAGCAGTCAAATGAGCTTAATGAGACTCATTGCTTATTCAGTGAGTCATACAAGACTGTTTGGTAGTGACTTATTGATATAGAAAGTGACTTATTTTCGGCAAACTTTTAGAGGAACTTTATGTAGAAAGTCTTAAGTTTTTCCAAGTCCCTCCTAATTTTAGAATACGCTCCTTTCATTTATAAAATAATTTTACCAAACAAAATTCTTCTCAATCCATACAGACAAATTAATCCACATAGACAACTTTATTCATAGAGGACATAATGGAAAACCAACCAAACAATCTCTTACTTAACTTATCTTCTTATTATATAAGTACTACAAGGACCGAAAATCTTACCGAATAAGAGAAATGACAAAGACCTAAAATCTAATTAAGTAAATGAGGGAAAAAAACTCTTATCGAAATAGCGTTTACCGGGTATAAAAAGCTTATCAACGATCCATTTTAATAACCGAAAATTTTACCAAATTATCCAGTAAAAACGTTTAATATATAATCGCTTGCCAAACGTTTTAAAGCAAATCGTGTTTTACACGTCTTGTTAAGGATTACTTGGTTTAAACGTGTTTTATTGGTAGGACGACCAAGAATACATGCAAGAAAGCATCCCAACTACTTTCCCAACAATACAAAGACCGATAAAAAAACGTCGCCGTATGGGCCACTTGCGGCCCATTTCAAGGCGCATTAAATGATCCCATTGCCAAAAAAATTCCAAATAAACCACGCACACTCCATTTATTTCTGATTTGATTTAACATAAAAATAGAAATTATTTACTTCACCAAATACCTCTATAAATAACAAACTTCATTTAACGTTAAACGCGATTTTAACTCGCACACAAACACCGCAATTAACTGTTGATAAGACGAAAACGATATCTGATGCTCCGTCTCTGATGTATAAACATATAAACAGTTGTCAGAAACGGAATTCAATGGTTTAATAGGTATAACATCATTTAGCATGTTAAATGTGAGATTTTGAACAGGGCCCTCGAAATTTCGAGGCCTAAATCTTTACATGTGTTTAGGGTCTTTTTATCGACTTGTGTAAAACTATAGCCGAAATTATTTAGGTTCAAACTATTAATTGTTTGGTTTTAGATTCAAATTATTAATGGTTTAGGTTTATTTTCGGATTGTGAATTGTTTTAGGTTTAACCCAAATTTGTTCTTAACATATTTTCTCTGATATTTCATTTATACAATGTACTCAAAAGTTTTGAATGTAGCAGAGCCTAGGGCTGTAAACGAACCGAACGTTCAGCGAATTGTTAGGCAGAGAGTTCGTTTATTTAATAAATGAACGAACATGAACAAATTTTTTGTTCGTTTAGTTAAACGAACGGACATGAATAAGAGTCTCGTTCGTTAATTTATTTTCATGAACGTTCGTTCATTTATTGTCGTTTATATATTAAATTTAATATATAATCTTTTATTTATTTACTTTGAATTCAAATAATATTTATTTATGTTCGTTTAACCTTTTCGTTTATGTTCGTTTAGCCCGTTCATTTATGTTCGTTCGTTTAGCACGTTAACGAACGAACATAAACGAACACGAACACACCTTATTTCTAAACGAACGAACACAAACACAAAAAATTTCGTTCGTTTACCGTTCATGTTCGTTCGGTTAAGTTAAACGAACGAACATGAACAAGCCTCCTTTCATGTTCGTTCGGTTCGTTTACAGCCCTAGCAGCGCCTCCAAAAAGATTGGAACGACCCCGATAATAGGCATAAAATACCATTCCATTCTTTTACACATCAATAATTCGTAAAAACTTATAAACCAGTTTTTGCATGTTGTTTCATACATGAAACAACACGAGTGAAAGTACAGTGTTTAATCAATGTTGTTTCATATATGAAATAATACATGAAAACTGCTTTATAAAATTGTACGATTTACAGACGTTTAAATATAATATAATATATTTATGTATTAATTTTTTTGAAGTCAAGAGATGAGAAATAGTTGCCAATTTCATACCACATTTTACAAAAAGCAAAAGCAAATTCCAAAGCAACAACAACTATTGAAGGGTAGTGGTTGCATTTGCAAGTGGTTGGCATGCATACAAAACTAGTTGTCACACTCCCTCTTCTTTTCTCCACAACAATTTATGCAACTTGATGGTGTTAACAAGTGGTGTGGAGTTTGCCATATGCCCTCTTAATTTTTATTTATTTATTTATTTAAATAACAAAATATATTTAGCAGTTATTCGTAACTTATTTGACGATCGTTTATGGTGCAAATCTTTTTCGCAGCAAAAGGTGTTTGAAAACCAACACGGGTTTTGTAAAGAGTACAATCTTGAAAGCCGAATTGGTTAATAATGAATTAACAATAACGTGATATAAACTAATAATTAAAAGGTCGTCCTTATGGTTGATGTGTGACTCAGTATCAACGCATACATGTGAAAAGATCATGTGGGGGTAGCTTGTTATGAATTTCACATGACACACGTTCATATGTTTTATTAGCTTTGATATGTGGCTTCTAACTTAAAAACAATTGACGGTGTAAATAATGCACACTGGGTATATATCACCCGAAAGGTGAAACAAAGTTGATGTCATTGGCTAGTTTGTACACATCCAAAAGATGAAAGTCGAGGTTAAATATGCATATGTTGAAAGCATTGGATTGAAATGTAGTTTGGAGAACATGTTCAAATCGTTAGAATTTCTGGGTGTTTCGATTGCTTGGATTACTGAAAGTTGTGATTCACTTTCATATTGAAATATTTCGATGGTACAATCGAAATTTCAATCGGATAAAATTCAGTAATTCGAACAGAGAATCGATGTTATGAATCAATCTGTACCCTTGATAAGTCCAAATTTATACAAATACATGCTTAAAAGGGGCCAATTTAATTTAAGTTAATTTAACTTCTTGAGGCTATTTAAGTTGAAAAGGAATTTTTTTTTTCGATTAGTTGTTTTATGGTCCAAACAGCAGCCAAACAGCCTTGTTGCTGTCTCCAAACAGCACATAAGCTGTCTCCAAACAGCAGGAGAAGCAGCAAAGCTGTATCCAAACAGCCATGCTGTTTCCAAACAGCCTTGCTGCACAGCCCAAAAGAAGCCCAAACAGTAGCCCGTGAAAAGAAAAAGAAGAAGGAACAGGGCTGCTGCCCAGACCAGAAATCGATCGAGAGAGAGAGAGAGAAATCGGGAGATTGTGCAGCAGCCAAACGT